ACATGCATAAAACTTGTCATATCATGATTTTGAAGGTGTCATGTTAGTCTTATGCACACCCCTACAAGGAAAGTGTTAACAAAAGTTGGAATGATTGAAAAAAATCTTTTGAGGCTAATGGCAGCAAAAAAAGCCCAAAAGAGCTCACTTTGAAAAACGATCTTCTGGAGCACCTCAGCCGGTGGTTTGAATATTTGTAGAAATAAAAATACTTTAATCAGCAAACTAAAGCATGTAAATTCATCACACAACTTTAAATAGCAGTAATATGACTTTATAACTTTAAATAATGCAGCAAGAAAATATTTTATGGACAACAGTACTCTGCCTGGGGATCTTCAGCTCTGACTAATTTTGAACTACCTAGAGGAAAATTGTATTTCTTAAGACTTTCCTTTTTTATCAGGAGAATTAATACATTCCCAATCAAGTTCCTTTTACGTATCGACTTTGTCTGTGATGTCTCTCCCAAAAAGGCTTTGGATGAGTTAAAATAGACTCAAATGAGACAAATGTTGACATACAGTAAGACTATAGAGCTGTTTTAAGCATCAGAGGATTCTGATGAGAAGCATTTGCATTCATATTAATATCTGAATTTTGACAGCAAACACTGTCTTAGCATGGTGTGTGACAATATTGCTTTTCTCTAGAAAATTGGTCAAATAGTGTCAGGGTTGGTGGCTGTAGAAAATCACACAACACAACGGACAAATCAACAAGAATCATATTTGATAGCAAATACTCATGAATATATAGAAATGAGAAATTATTACCACCAACATAATGAGAACGAACAAAGAACTGAGGAAACTAAGGGTTTAATTAGGGATAATTAGAAGGAACAAGTGTGAACTCAATCAAAAACCAAGGAGACAAAGGAGACTCAATTCAAGGAGACTCAATCCTGTTGCATGTTCTCGTGGGGCGGGGTAAACAACCATCTCTGATATTTTGAATTTGGACTGCAGTACCTATTTCGGCCACTAGCTGTCATTCTTACAAACAGCACCTTTAAACAGTGAATTGATCTCTTCTTGTAAACTAATTGATGTGGGTTCGGATGGCAATTAAATTACCGCACGACCTTAGTGTTTGTCAAAAACCTGTAGGGAATTCGGCCAGGGATTTTTACCTGGGTGGTGGGAGAAAAACACTGACCTTCTGGTTTTGGACGGCAATAAAATCACACACAAGCCCCTAGCCCATATACCCCCTATAACGCTATCTGAATAGGGTTTAAGACAAGGAATACGGACCCGTTTCTGTGATCTCCTGATTCTCATGTGCCTGTATATAATCTCTAGTGTGATTTCTCCCTCATGTGTCTAAGTGTGTGTTCTGCTCTGTTCTCCACCGGACTGCCAGCCAGCCACCCACCCCCCTCTATAAGACAAAGACTTTCATTAACATCATTCAACAACCATCCATCAACTGCTATAATCAATATCTACTTGCCTGTTTATCTAACCATCCTCAGTGTATATTTCCTGACACCTGGGGCTATACGGATACTGCCTACCTTAATTCTCGATTTAAGATTAGAAAGTTAAATTACACACATATGAGAGGATTTTGAGTTAGGATGTTTCTGTAAAGAGCCCCTGGAGGTGTAAATGCCATGTGACTAATTATTCTACAATAATGACATCATGACAGAGATGATTGACACCACTAGTTCCAAATAACTTCACTACCAACTATCCTGAGCTGTCATGTGAAAAATATTTTACACAGTATGTCCATTATCGCTTTTAAAATCCTTCCAATAAATAGTCAGGCACAGGTAAAATGTGTTATATTAATAACGTGTGATTCGTGATGTATGTTGCTCGCAATAAATCAGAATACATGCCCAACAGTGAAGTCTTTTGACTCCAAAATGGTTTATTTATCAGCCCAGACTAGGTCTGTGCTAACCAGTCAAATCTAGTCCCAGAATTAATACTGAAATGTATCATAGTTTGAAATTTCAATCTCCTTACTAAACACGTGTAACAACAGGAATGGGTCTCTCTACATTGAAAAAAGTGGAGAGATTATTTTTAAGAAACTGACTTCTGAAATCCAGGGCTCATGTGATATTGCCAGTGCTGGGACTGCATTTTTGTGTTAAACCCTGCTGTAGGCGACTGTACGAAAACTCGATGCAGCTCTCTAACACCTTGCCGTCAGGCAGAATTTAAGTTTCAAAGCTGTATCCAGACCAAATAATAACCTGTGAGGTCTATTTTACTGTGAATGGAATTACTGCCATTCAAGATTGATGAAACCTTTAAAGAAGAACACAATGTTTTTAGGGTTTAGGCCAATTAGTGACGTTTTTTTTTTTATAAGTGTAATGTTTTATTTTCTAGGATTTGTGTGTGTGTGTGTGTGTTCTTGTTAAACAGTGAGAGGACCAAATGTCCCCACATAGATAGTAAAATGTGAAAATTTTGACATGATAGAAAACAGCTTATAAATCAAGCCAGGCTAGTACATTTCGTAAAATAGGCAAAATTTGTTTCGAATCAAAAGCAACAAAGCTTATTACGATTATGGAAAGAGCCCTACAATGTCTGAAAACAGGATAGACTCGATTCTGGTCCAAAAGCAGTGCTTTGCAACAAAGATGAATGAAAGTGTGAAAGTTATGTCACAATGTTGATAACGTTGTATATCCTTCGGCCTTCGCGCTTTTTTAAGTGTGTAACGTTAACTGTTATACGGAAATCCTCGACCTTATTGGGTAGGCCTAAGTTATACTACTTGTATTTCACGTAAAATATACGGTGTGTACAGAATAAAAACCATTAAGTCTATGGAGACTCCCCACAAAGATAGTAAAACCGTTTATGTTAGTGTGTGTGTGGCCTACCATTCAGTTCCATGAAGCGCAATTCCAGTGTGTACAAGTAGCACCAAAGCAACAGCATTAGCCTAAGTTACAAACAAAAGTCACACACCGCCATCTGCTGGCCAACTAACGTTAGCCTATATCAGGGGATTCAAACTGAAACCTTGTGCTCAATATTCTTTAAAAAATGTAAAAAAGAACAAGTGCATTAATGTCTTCGATTGACTCTCTTATTACAAAATGAGAAAATTACAAAGTGTAGCAGCTGACAAAGTCATTTTTCTCTCCTCTCTCACGGACCTCCCATCTGAATGAGATGACAAGACAATTACGAGCCAAGATTGATCTTTCAAAAGGCTATTCACTTCTTCGGTAATTACATACTTGATGTGAGGTCTAATGAAGATATTGTCAAATTTGCTATCCATTTAAGGGGGAAAGGAAAGAAAGTAACCGTCCCACCCCCAAACTATTTATTTCCTGTCTCACATAAGATGCTGCAGTCTTTAAATATTTTTATATATATTTATGTAGCCTATAAATGTATGTATGTTAAAGAGGAATACTGCTTTGGTATATACAGCAAAGTTTGTAAATGAAGAGTTCAGATGCAAAAGCCTCTAAATGCCATTTGAAATTTTCTTCTAGAATGATCATTTTTATCAAGCTTGTATATTTAAGTTCAGTGATTTCACTTAAATTGCAATGATAATTACCTACTAATTGTTATTTAAGTGAAATTACTGAACTTAAATATACAAGTTTGATAAAAATCATCATTAAAGAAGAAAATTTCAAATGGCATTTAGAGGCTTTTGCATCTGAACTCTTCAAATATAGTACCATGCAGAATAGGCCTATATGTTCACAACATCCATTAGGTCTATCTTGCTTCTGTATGTAAGAGCATAACATTTAGCTAATTAAGCCTTGTTCTAATTAACTAGCTAACATTTTTGGGTTAAATAAAAAACTGCTAGCATTAGACCAAATATAGATCACAGTTATTAACATTATCCATCTTCCTCAGGTAGGCTACTGTACAAAAAGTAGATTGGTTGTCAATGTCCAATAAGACCGCTGTCTTGCAGCTATTAGCCTTGCATTCATTACACAGCAGCCTAGCATAATTCAGAGGAGATTTTTTCCTCTCTACTGCTTCTGTGATTTCACATATGGGCTCGTCCAAGAGATTAATAAGCTTGCACTGGCTTTATGTGCGAAAATGTCAGCTGCGGCTGCAGACCTGACTGAACAAACAAGTCGCATTTCCATATTTCATCCGTCTGTGGTGTAGCCTACCTGCCGTGGCATCAGGCATTATTGGGTTTTTATGTCTCTGGCTTCTGAAAAAAATAAATCTGATGCAGCATCTCACAGCTACAATCTCATTAGGAGTGAATGCAAATGTGCTTCCAACCAGTTAAAGCTTTTGAAGGTGGGAGTAGAGCATGTGCTGGATGGGCTCTAATGAAGTATGGCGTAGGAGAGGAGACACTTTCATTGATGGAACTGACTCATTCGCATGAAGAGCACTTTATGTCTTTAACTCATTAATCTTAACAAAAATACATGGGAAAATAACCACAATTTACCACATAAATACTCATACAAATCTGTCACGATGGACAGGAGAAGTATGAGAGCTGGTGCTAAGAGTAAGGGCTCTGTCAGGTAGATTAATGACCACGGATGAAAACAAATCAGGTAGTTATGGTGTCAGCTGGACCCCCTTTCGCTTTCAGAAGTGCCTTATTTCTTCGTGGCATACAGTAGATTCAACAAGGTGCTGGAAACATACTCAGAGATTTTGGTCCATATCGATTCTGTTTTTTAAAAAAGTAACAATTCTTTTTTTAAAAAGTAACGATTCCTTTTGAAAAAAGTAGCGATTCTTTTTATTTTTTTAAAGTAACAATTCTTCTAACAAAATCGCAACTTTTTATTGAGTGCTCTCCACACGTGTTAATTATCTGAACATGCTCCTCTCGAACTATGTTAATAAAACATCATTTGTCGTGTAAATGAACTGCCAAAACGCCCCCAAAAATATACGGTTTTAATTGAAAAACTAAACTTGTCCCCTAAAACTCAAAAAAGCCCATGCAAAAAATCAACAAAATCATTGAGTTGAGATTTTTTTACAGTGCTCGTTTCTTACCTTCTTTTCTTTGGTAGTGGACATATTTCAGAAATAGATTGTCTGAGTATCCTGACAAAATCTCTAGGGGTCAGTTGCTCATCCATTTGGTATAGCCATGCAGACAGTGGACGTGGAGTTTGTCCTTGAAACCCTATCGTTTACACAGAATAAGAGGACTTTAACATCTTACCGTATATTTGAGATGAATAGTTGAGCATGGTTTACCTGGTTCAGGTCTTACTGGACATAGACCTATTGTTTTTTGATTCTGTATTTGTGCTTCATTGGACTGCATATTTCGGCTTTTCGTCAAAGGGATACGAGCCATACCCTGCCATGAAAATTAGATGGTTGTCAAAGAACAGATTTGTTTTCCAAATACCCCCGGGAGAAAATCATTACAGTGTATCACCTCGCATAGTGTGGCCAATGCATGACTACAAATCCCACGATTCTCACAGACACGAATGAAGTGCTTGAACAAATGAACGTCTTCATGAAGTCCTCTGAGCAGAGCCCAGGCTGCTGAGATACATCTGAAAAATAATCATAACTTATAATTATTCATGATTTTGCCAAGGACCTGTTCCTGGATCAGCATATTTTGTTGAACATTCCTGTCCAAAAAGTTGTCCTAACCCTATCCCCTAAAAAAACCAACCCTACCCACCATTAGTTATCCCTAAAATCAGAGCTAAATGACTTTAAACTTTGAATCTTATTCGACGATTTGAATGTCGTTCCAGGATCATCGAAGATGTTGATGTCACCACAATGTAGGAAGATTTTGCAGAATAAGAATCATTTTGATTTACTTGTTCTGTATTAATACATCCACACGGAGTTTGATATCATGAATGTTCTCCATGGCTGGTGTGATGCTGTATAGATACTTCAGTGCTGCTTTATTCTCTCCTGTCCTCAATAAGGTCCTCAGAACAGCCCAGTGGTGCCATGACAGTGCTGGAGGACAAGCTCTCGGGCTCAATAAGACATCCATTGAATCCTGGGAATAAAAAGTTCCATATGTTCATAGACCCACGTAATATGATACCAGGACAATTTTTTGATAACACCGAATGATGGTATTAAAAAGCGTCTCACTGTTACTAATCCCTGATCTAGAAGCCAAAATCCAAAGATCTGTTGGGAAAATGCAGATGAGACACTGAAAACATGACAGAATGACTGCTGGAGATCATCCTTACACTGCAGGAAGTTAGACACATCCAGGACAAAGTACATTACCTGGAGCCTTATTAAAGAAAGTTAACCAAAAGTGAGACATGAATATTATTTTGATGGTCCCCTGTTGACTATAAGTAACCTACATGTCAGATAACTCCAGTTAGAGGATTGGGAAACTGTTGGGTTAGAGGAAGGGTTGGGGATAGTAGAATAAGTTGACATAGACTTGCAAAGTTACTCAGTTGGGGAGCATCAAAATAAAGTGTCAGCAGATATTAAAAATAAAGTGCTTCCAATATAATATAGTCTCTTGTGCTCGCCAAGGCTGCATTTATTTCATCAAAATACATTAAAAACAGTAATGTTGAGAAATATTTGAGAAATAATTGTTTTCTAGTTTTTCCTGTGATGGCAAAACTGAATTTTTAGCATCAACACTCCAGCATTCAGAGTCACATGATCCTTCAGAAATCATTCTCATTCTGATTTGCTGCTCAATAAATATTTCTGATAATTGAAAAAAGTTGTGCTGCTTAATAGTTTTGTGCATTTCTTTTCAGGATTCTTTGATTAGAAAGTTCAAACGGACAGCATTTATTTGAAATATATGTATATTTTTGTAACATTATAAATGTCACGTTTGATCAATTTAATGCAGCCCTACTAGTGAAAAATATATCAGTAAAACATTTATCTACGGAGCCCCTCTAGTCCCACTTTGGTAAAAAAAAAATAATTATAACTATCTTGTGGCCTCAAGATAGTAACTCGTGGCCTCAAGATAGTAACTCGTGGCCACAAGATACTAACTCGTGGCCTCAAGATACTAACTCGTGGCCACAAGATAGTAACTCGTGGCCTCAAGATAGTAACTCGTGGCCTCAAGATAGTAACTCGTGGCCATAAGATAGTAACTCGTGGCCACAAGATAGTAACTCGTGGCCTCAAGATAGTAACTCGTGGCCACAAGATAGTAACTCGTGGCCTCAAGATACTAACTCGTGGCCTCAAGATAGTAACTCGTGGCCACAAGATAGTAACTCGTGGCCTCAAGATAGTAACTCGTGGCCTCAAGATAGTAACTCGTGGCCACAAGATAGTAACTCGTGGCCACAAGATAGTAACTCGTGGCCTCAAGATAGTAACTCGTGGCCTCAAGATAGTAACTCGTGGCCACAAGATAGTAACTCGTGGCCATAGTTATAATTAATTTTTTTTACCAAAGTGGGACTAGAGGGGCTCCGTATTTATCAACTAAAAATGGAAAAGATATAAAACATAACCTTACAGAATTTTGACTTAATGAATAACATTTCAACATCAAAATATTAAAATAAAAACAAGCAGGATACAATGGCTTGGACGGACACCATGTCAATATTAGGCAGCAGCACTAGCTTTAGCAAAGCTTCTAGAGATGGTGGTGGGTACGTTTGGTAGGCACAGTCTTCTGAAACCCATATAGGCCCGTGTTGTTTGTCCATATGAGCTACCATACCCTGAATAAGAGAACTCCATCGGTACTTATCCTCAGCATAACTGCTGATGAGAGACAGAGCATGAGAATATTGGTTAATGAATTCATTAATTACTGTTAAATGCTAAACAACCATGATTTTGTCAGAGTGGGAAAGTAGTTACCTCAACTGCAGACATGTTCTCCTTTGTTTGCGGTCCATCTCACGCCACATCTGAGATATCCTCTTCAGCGCATGGGCTTCTAAAAAAAGCAAAAGCAAACAGAAAAGCTATTAAATAGCCGATCATACAATTTAATATAAAGGGATAGTTTACCTAAAAATTAAGATATTTTGTAGGATGGATATTTTTGGAATTCCATAATATTTTCCCCTACTTTTCCAACTTTTACTTTTTTTTTTTTTCCAACAGAAGAAAGAAACACATTCAGTTTTGGGACTACTTTAGGGTGAATAAATGGTGACAGAATTTTCATTTTTAGGTAAACTATCCCTTTAATGTAAGTTTTCAGATATTATATTTCATGTGGTGCGTTATACAGCTGTTTCTGAATGTAAAATGTCTGAAAAGTTTCAAAGATCACAGTGCACGATATATTGACTCCCAAAAGAAAGTACTGAACTGCCTGAAATGAGTCATAGGTAATTCCAGTCTTACTTTCTGCATGTTTGTAACAAATTAGCATAATGGAAGCCCTCCTGTGATCTTCATTGGCTGCCAGTGAACAACATCTACTTTGACCTGCTCTCAAACACTAGCTGTAGCTGAGACTGGTAGAGCCGTGAAAATCCACTTTGCTTCCAAAGGATGATGACTCATCGAATTGATACGGTAAAACTGACGACACCCTTACTGTTACTGTATCACTGTGTATTCAAGTGCTGAGGAAGATTTTGGAGGTGAAATTCAAATATGGCACAATCAACCTCTAAGTGGTTGACCAATCAGAGCAGAGTAGGCTCTCAGAAAGGACTTTAGAAAGACTGAATCCTTTCAGTGGCACTGTGAGCAAAGAGGTGATGCATATAATGTATATTATGATAAATGTTTTGAGCTTGGATATATGTAGACCTCCAAAACAAAATTAGGAACCTTTAAGATAGCATAGTAGGTGCCTTTTAAATAAATGAATACTTTAGAGCAGGGCTGCATTAAATTGATCACAGTTATTTGTAAAGAAACAAACTTTAGTTTACATGAACAAAGTCCTCTATCCCGAATATCACCTGGGTACTTGGGCAGAAGTCCTGTGAGGCTCCACCACTGCACCAGGCGGCCCAGCAGGATGTGTTGCCTCATGGCATGATGCTCCTGTTTCCAACAACCCCATATATATGAAGCCTTGCTTCCTAGTGGACACACCACACACGGGCCACCCGTAAACATAGATCCAAAACCAGTTTGTTAGAGCACTTCATATCCCAATAGAGTCATGCTGTTGTTTACAATAAACATATTGACATCCTTGGATTTTTTAAAATATCACAAAAATTTCCCAGAACATCGTTTTGGTATCTACATAAATAATCATGAATCAGTGATTTTAAGTGAAATTATTTCTGAATTGTTTTTACTTTATTTGAAAAAAATAATGGCAGCATTGGTGAGGATGAGAGACTATCTTCATAAACACAAAAAATATATTACTGATGTTGTATATTTTACTGGTGACTTTGCATGTGGTTTGTCAATTAAAGTGAACAGAGACTCCGTGACTGACCTTGTTTAGTGTGTACAGGCTCACTTTGTTTCTGTACAAGGTGGACCAGAGAAAGCAGGTTCTTCAACTTGAGGACCAGTTTATGGACTAGAGCGAAAGCGTTTTCATCTACAAACATCCACAATCCTTCACATCGTCCGAAACCTACAATCAGAGAAGAGCCAAGTGAGGTTTATCCGACGACCCAAACAAAAGCGGTAAACCTCAATGTTTAATAAGATTTCACCTACTCACAGAGCATTAACAGCTCCTTCTTGGCCAGTTCTGCTGAACTCTGAAGCCAGCAGTTAAAACGGGCTAAACATTCACTCGTATCCCCTTCACCTATAGGAAACAACACATCAAACAATTACCACGTCACATCATTGTGACCCAAATTGGACCGAGGCACTGGTTCAATATAAGACACTGAAGTCCTACCTTCAGTACAAAGGCCCCGTAAGCAGCCAACGAGGCCCTTGATATTGTTGTCTGTTAAAGCTTTATTCCACGAGACCTCTGTGTTTAGCATCATCCTGATTTTCCATAAAGATCCTTCCACGTGTTTCCACACAGAAACCTTAAAGATATCAACTATCAACAATCTTGGCTTTCAAAGTTAGACTTTAGTTAAACCATGTTTACAGAAAGTTATCTTAACTTGTGCATATTTCAAATGCTAAATAGTCAGAAAAAGCTTGTTAACAGTTGTCAGAGCTAAAAATTGTCAAAGCTCATCATAACTCATAAACATCGTGGTAAGCAGAACTCACCAGCTGATAAAGCACCCTTCATCCAGTATCCGGTGGTCATGAGTGTCCTGCATTCAGATCTGCTGACAGGTTTGAGTGTGCTTTCCCCTGACTCAATCCCCTTTAGGCCTGAATAATCCTGTGGATTTCATTTGCTGTCAGTACATGTGGTATTACATCAAATATACATAAAACAGGAGTCGGCCAAATAAAGAATCCTTATTACATATAACAAAGCAAACAGCCTTGGAGTCAGAAGTCCCATTTCTAAAGGGTAGAAGTACATATAAGCCATAAATAGACTGTTTAGTTCAGTTTTGTTGTGTTCTGTTTTGTTTTGATTCATTCTCTAAAATAAAAATGTATTTATTTATTAATATTAGCAATATTATGTAGCAATAATGTACATTCTTAGAAGAGTAAACAAGGATCTTGTGCATATTTATGTGTGCTTTGGTACATATAATGTATATATTGCATGTGTTATGGGAAAAGATTAAAAAGTAATCCCCAATTTTTTTCTCAAAATCTTTCAGGTCTATTATTATTATTTTTTTAACTAAAAAGCAAAGTAATTTAAAAATATATAATATTTTTAAATTGGATATATAAAATACCATAAAATTAGTGCTATCAAATCAATTAATCACACACATACAGTACATGAAAGTTGTAAATTGTTTATACATTTTATGTTAGATATGATTAATAATGATTAACTGATTTGACAGCACTACCCTATATGATATATGTAAATAATGCATTTTAACAAAAAAAGGATATTATAAAAATTAAACTACATGCAAGCATAGTTGGAGACTTTTAGTAGCTCAATAACCCTTTTCTCATTCTTTACTCTCTAACACACACACACACACATACACACACTCCAGTCAGTGAGATTTGTCCTGGTGGCAGAAGGTACTCTTCCAAATCCAACTGGGCTGATTACTGATTAGAAAGAATTACGAGAGAGGTCACAGCTGAGAGTCTGCGGCAGACACTAACAAACACACACATTCATTTGCAAATAATGCCTTTAGATTGTTAACCAAAAGCTGCGAACCTCTAATGGAAAGAAATCACCTGGAATAGGGCGGGATGCCACTGAGGGGTGGAGAGACCCGGATGGGTGAGTTAGCTGTTTATTACCCTCATCTCACACACCACTCCCTGTGCCTGTCCTTATTTAGTTTCGCCAGCTATTTTCAGCTTTCAGTACTCAGGCCAGGAGTATTCTTAGCTTTTTGAAGAGTTATATGGCTAAAAATATTTGCATGGTAACTGTGCTGTAGATAACAATTATTGAACAAAAATGTAACCTGAATATATAGGCTACTTAATGTGGTAAAATCTAAATCCAAAATTTGTATTTAATATGTAACTATTTTTATGAGACTTTTAAAGGTATGCTATAATGCTCTTCTCGATATTGTCTCAGCTGTTGCTAAGTTTGTTTTCTCTCTTTTTTTTGCCTCTCATTTCCAAAACAAAATGGAAATAGTTTCAGCTTCACTACGTTTCTAAAGGACCTGGCATGGCATCTCCAAGAAGTTTGACAAATCAAAATATAAAACCATTTTTTTTTTTTTACTTACATCTAGTTCTTCTCATTATTTAAATGCATGAGCTGCATGAACGCTGTTTGGCAATTGCAGTTCAAGGACCTTTATTGATTGACACTCACTAAGTTAGCCAAATAAGCTAATAGCTAAGAAGCATTATGTCATCTTCTGTAACCGTGTACACCTCAGTGACTTTCATCTGAAATTTCTAATTTAGCTATTTGATTTTTGTACTCCATTAGACTTCCACAAAATCAATTATATAAAGTGTAGAGCTCTCCTGTACAATCCTGTAAAATGGCTGTGCTGCCGGTTAGATTCACCAAAACCAAGAGAGACAAACTGGCCCAGGTTTTGTGGGTGCTGAACTGGATTTCCATTGTAACAGGAATCATCCTCTTTAGCTTGGGCATCTTTTTGAAAGTTGAAATCAACAAGCGGCAGGATCTAATGGTCGAGCGTCAGCTCCAATCCGTGCCGAACATGCTAATCGCGGTGGGACTTATAGCCTGTGCGATTAACTTTTTGGGAGGAAAGATCTGCTATGACTGTGTGGACACCAACAAGTTCTTACGTTGGAAGTTGGTGATGCTCCCGTACATCATTTGTACGTTTTTCTTCACTCTGAGCGTGCTCGTGGGGGCCTTGATGTGCTACAGCATGCTCGGACAGCTGGAGGAATCGCTAACGTTGGGGCTACGGGACGCTATGCGTTACTACAAGGACACGGACACACCAGGCCGCTGCTTCTTGAAGCACACAGTGGACCTGCTGCAGATTCAGTTTCAGTGCTGTGGGAACGAGGGCTATAGAGACTGGTTCCAGATCCAGTGGGTCAGCAACCGATACTTGGACATGTCGCAACGGGAAGTGGTAGAGTAAGTTGGGCCTGAAACAAAGAGTTATATAAATAGTTAATATGTAATTAGTTAGCTGAAATGCCCCTATTATTTTTTTTTTTAAAGTTATTTATTTAGATTGGCAGGTATCCTACAATAGGTTTACATACACTAAAAAATGCTGGGTTATTTCATCCCAAATTTGGGTCAAATATGGACAAACCCAAATGTCGGTTTAAAAATGTAATAAAAAAAAGTTGGGTTAAAATTTTAAATTACATTTTTAACCCAGCATTTGGGTTTGTCCATATTTTACCCAACTTTGTGTTATAACAACCCAGCATTTATTAGAGTGTACATCCAAGGTCAAAAAACAGTTTCATTTTCTCATAATATGAATTACAGCTTCACCTGTTTTCTCACAGTGTCGGTTCAATCAAGGATCTTTCTAAACCTCTCCTTTCTGAGAGCTTACTCTACTCTGATTGGTCTGATGACCCAGTCTGTTGTGATTGGTCTACTGGTTATAGAGTGTGGAAATTAAACACCTGTTACCATATCTGAATTTCAGCTCCAGATCTTCCTTAGCCCACGAACAGAAACAATAGCGTCGGTTTTCAATTCCAGCTCAATTCTCGATAACACAAACCAAACACTCCCAGTCTCAGCTAACTAGTGTTTTAGGGGGGGTCAAAGGTTGTGCACTGGTAGCCAATGAAGATCATAGACTGGCATTATGGAAATTTGTTACAAACCTGTGTAATTTTGCGTTAGACTGGAATAACCGATGACTTGTTTCAGGCAAAATCAGTTCTTTCTTTTGGGTGATAATAACTCGTTCAATCTTTAAAGACATTTTACATTCACAAACAGCTATATTACACACTAAAAGAAAGGTAAAATCGTAAAAAAAATCATAATAGGGGCACTAAAATAATATTGAAAGAAAACGAAATGTCTTCTGATTTTTGTGCAATTTTACAATTACAATTTTTTTCTAGCCGTCTAAGGAGCAACGTGGAGGGAAAATACTTAATGGACGGGGTTCCCTTCAGCTGCTGCAATGTCAATTCTCCTCGGCCGTGCATTCAGTACCAAATCACCAATAAGTCCGCCCACTTCAACTACGACCACCAGACAGAGGAGCTCAACCTGTGGATGAGAGGGTGTCGTCAGGCTCTGCTAGATTATTACGCGGACATCATGCATTCTATCGGCCTCACTGTTCTGATCATCTGGCTCTTTGAGGTTGGTAGTGTCTATTGCTTTGGCAATACATTAGGGAAGGATTCGATATTATAACATTTGCAAAGTTTAAGTATGACTTTTAATTTGAAAATAAGAACTTACATTGGATCATTCTCTCATATCGGCCTGGTCAAATGAGTCCATCTCAGAAATCCCATCTGCCTTTTAAAGGATAAAAGTTCCTTAACCACTCAGCACACCTCTAGGCTAAAAGAATGCTATCCTATTTTAAAATGCTAAACAATAAAATTTTAATATATACCCATAAAAAGATCACCTATTGTACAATATAGCAGGCTACACTACAGTAATGCTAACACACTGTAATGGATTCAGCAACTAAGCAGTTAAGGTGTGGTCACATTAGTGAAATTTCAAAAGGTCCAAGTGTAGCGAAGCATGACACTGATCACAAAGATGGCACTCTTAAAACCAAGCAGTTGTTGGCTAACGCAGCGAATTTGTATAACCAACTCGAGTGCGAAATCTTTCGCCCTCAAAAAAACAAATCCTGATCGCGTGGATGACTCTTGAAATTACTAGCCTGGTTAAAACCAGACCATTCTCAGTTGTAACTGAGTTATTGTCTGGCAAAGCGTCATAGACAAATCATTTCTAGAGGGGCGTCACCAACGGACGTCGCGGGTAGACCTAAAACCAATGAGAGCGATGAAGGAGATGACGTACTGTATGCAGAGCGGCGGCCTCGGTTTTTAACCAAAAGGAAACGTTCAAATCGCCTAAAACAGACGCGATAGCTGATTCGAACGAGTGATGTTCGACGGCGGCATCCATCTTTGTGATGTAGGCTTTAAAATCTGCTTCAAAATCCCAGCGATGTCGTCATCATGTAAAGCCCGCCCCAACGTTTCTGATTGGTGCCGTGATTTCGGCGGATTGGAAAATGGTCTGGGTTTTCCCAGGCTATGAAATTACTGGATTTCGCCAGCAAAAACGTGACCGCACTTTTGGCTAAGTGTTGACAGTCCAAAAAAATGTTCATCCAATCATTGCATTCGGTCCAAATGCAATGATTGGATGTTCTACCGTGTTTTGAAGGAGGCATGGCTGAAGGGAGGGTAGGATCTTATGTTTTAAAAGCTAGCTTGCTATTGCTAGCCTCTATGAAATTGCCAACCCTAGCTTTTAAAATCTGATCCGGTTCTGTGGCCTAATCCCATCCTGGGATTATATACTAACTTTATAATCTGCTCAATGCACCAGCCACTCCAATGACAGTTTCCTAAAGCTTCATACAGCACTTCAAACAGTATGAATTATACAATAGTTTCAGTTGAATCAACTTTTTTTATAGGAAAAAGTATCAGACTGCTATGAGTCAAAAACAACCTCATCGATTCCTTCTCTGACAGCTCTCAGTTCTCACTGGGGTCCGTTACCTCCAAACGTCCCTGGAGAACGTGCTGCGTCAGGGGGACCCCGAGAGCGAGTCTGACGGGTGGCTCCTGGAGAACAGCTTTGCGGAAACCGCTCGCACTAATTTCAAGATCATCAAACACCTGGGCAAGTTCAATCAGATCAACACAGCCAGCAATGGAGATCCAAACATTGATAGACCACCTACAGCACATTATGGTCCAGATAATGTCCCTCCAAAGCCTCTTCCCACGAGCGGTTAAGCTTCCAGAATGGTCCTTCTGGTGAGGACTGGACTCTGATGCTATATGACTTAAAGATTATGAAAATGATTAGGTGAAAACAGAGAAATATCACAACATACTGAAATTTATTTTTGATTTCATGTGAAACATAAGGCAAAATATCATGAGGCCTTCAAAGTCTTAAAACCTTTTAACTGCCTCTCATTGAGAATGCAACAGTTTCATTTGTTTGTGTTTTAGAGATTCTCATATGAATTGTGATTATCACTGGATTTGTTTAGAGGAAAAACTGGTCACTGTAGGTTTTTAATTAGGGAGTTTACATATTTCCATAAAACGAATTTCTTTTCAATATTTCCAAGATATCAAAAATGTCAGCTTACTCACACAAGCCATCATGAATTCTCGTTTCATGCCTTGGTCTCGTGCCTAAAGCCAGGTGTTGTAATAACTTGTGAAAACAAACATTTTTAAGCTCACCCATGCCTAAAATTATCATGAATATGAAGTGACAATAAATGTAACATGTACATTTAATTTATACATCATTAAAACCTTAAAGTGTTGGAACCAAGGGTCGTGTGCAGTTCATTGACTTGATGAAACCTTTGAAATGTTTTGGTAACACTGTACTTGAAGTATGTGTGTATAAAGAACACATTACAAAATTAATTAAATATTCTTGTAATTGTCAAAGCGGACATTTTCAGCGTCATTACTCGTCTTAAATGTCACATGATCCTTCAGAAATCATTCTAGCGTGCTGATTTGCTGCTAAAGAACCTTTAGTATTATTATCAATGTTGGAAACTGTTGTGCTGCATAATTTAATATTTTTTTGTTGAAATCATGATATTCAGGTTTATTTAATGAATAGAATGTTTAAAAGAACAGCATTTTTCTGAAATACCCTTTTGTAAAAGTATTCAGTCACTTTGAATCAATTTAATTAATCCTTTATGAATACAGTTCACTTTGAAATTAATTTTTGGTATGTTTAAGCTTACCTCAAGGGCATCCAAGATGTAGGTGTCTTTGTTCCTCAGTAGTTTCAATTCTGATATTTTCAGGTCAAACCGTTCGTGTCTGTCAGTCATATAATGGAGGTCTATGGTCACCATCTCAAAGAGCATGCACAGAGAAGTCCAAATTAAACATGATTTAATGACTCGTTAATGTAAGTACACATTGATGGCCTAAGACACGAAACAAGCGCATTGTGTTAGAAAACGAACAGTATTTATATCGTTTTTACCTCTTGTAACCACAGCTGTATATCTTGGATGCCCTTGAGGTAAGCTAAAACATACCAAAAATTTATTTCAAAGTGAACTATCCCTTTAAAAAAGGCCCCAAACTTTTAAATGGTAGTGCACAGATTTAAGTAGTGTTCCCATTCATGTTTTTACTTTAATTGAACTGTGCTTCTCAATACAATAATACAAATCATATCCTCACAAAGTTACATTGATATCTACAAACTACGGATTATTTCAAAAATTAAAAGCAGACTTTTTTTGCCTTTAGGAAATCTCAAAGCATGCACCAAAGAAACATTTAGCTTGTGTTTTTAATATCTGATAGATATACCCACATCATCACTATTAGTGAATTTTAAAACCTGAATAAACAAGTCTATTCACCTTGAAACTTATGTTAGACCTTGTAAGCTATTTTTTATGTGAATGTACGAGACATACGATTCAATAGCTGCTATAACAAAATGGTAAAATAATTTGCACTACACAAACCAGTGTTTATGATTACGATAATAAATAAAAATGATATGATAATAAGTTTTCAATATAAAAAGTACAACTAAAAGTTTGTGTACAGCAAAAATAACTGGAAGCGGATGAGACGGGAAACCTCGACACAATCGAGTTAAAATGGTGGCGTTAAGAATAAGAAGGACAGAATGTGAAGTAAAGGTAAGAGATCAGTCAGCATGGACATGATGTCACTCAGTAGTTTATTTCATGGAAGTAAGAAGTTTAAAAGCACCTTACAGCTTGAAACAACCGATGAGTGTGGGAAAAAAAAAAAAAAAAAACGCTGACTGACACTCAAGAAAAACACGTGTTTGATTTAATACATATCGACAAGTGATATATTTGAATTTACCCAATAGGCATCGTTACGTGTGATTATTGACCTTTTTATTTATTCATTAATTCACAGATGCATTCTTATAGTAAAATAGCATAATCTAATTACACATTGTTTTTATATACATGTTCAATGTGACATCCATAGCATGAGTGAATCTCATGAAATCCATCAAGAATATGCCTGGCTCATAATTCACCCCAAAATCAAGAGAAATGTGCTTAAATTAAATAATGCCTATTTTTAGGACCATTAAAATCATTTGCATCTAGATTATTACTTCCAGATTTCACATTACTGTAAAAATGGTATATTAACCGTAGCTGTATATTATTAGTATACACTTTCTAAATTCTTATTCAATCATATTTCATTTACCCGTATACTGAATAATAGGCATTTTAGTCATTTTTACTGTAATGACAATAATTGGAATTTAAAATAAAAAAAGACTGTAGTAATTCGAAAAATAGTAGTAGCCTTAAACACATTCGCCTTTATGCAAAAAAAAAAAAAAAAAAAAAAAAAAAAAAAAGATTTTTTTTCTTCTGACTTCAGGGTGGCATGTGACCCAGACATGTTTTTGTGAGATTCGCCTGAGAACATAAGTTACAAAACAGCATCTCGCTCAGAAACACTGAATATTATTTTTTTTAACTTTGAGGGCATCTTTGCTTAATAAAGCAGTATAGAGATATATTACATTCACATGAATACGTTTCTCACACAGATGAAAGAGCAAACAGCGGTGGCAGGGTGAGAGGACTAGAATTCACAGAGGTATAAAAGCACGTTTGAGTTTCGTAGTAACACAAGCCCCTTGATTAATCTTTACAACCTGAAAACAAAATGCCAAAATACCACGACGAATGAAAAAAGAAAAAGATGCAGTGCTATAATGAGTGTAGATCCGCGACCGAAGCCAAATAAATAAAGAGCTGAGAAAGCAAATTTACTTTGCAAGTATCTTGTATGGACCTGTTAAGTGTGGCTACCCATAATGCACTGACATTAAGAGATGTGAGGGTGTTTATTACTCCCTGCAGTCAGGCTGATGTCATGCGCAGGCTAACTGAATGTGGCGTGTCTTTCTACTCGCAGTTTGCACTTCCTCTGTCCGCCTCGGAGCTCAAAGCATCTGCCACTCAAAGGGGAACATGACGTTGAGGACCTCCAGACTTCGGGCGATTTCCTCCAGGACACAGTGCTGATGCCACATATGAAGGAGCTTGTGGTAACGCTCTGGACACAAGTGGAGTGGGTTCCCACGCCTAGCAAAGTCCAAACAAATATGCGTTAGCACTCATGCTAATAAAGACTAAACAGACAAACCACGTGCTAACACAAGATATTGCGTAACTAAAGATTTATATCAGAAATACAGATTAGGATTAATGCTAATACAGAATAAACAAAAAGCACACGCTAAAAGAAGATATTGGTTTACTAAAGATTTATATCAGAAATACAGATTAGCATTAGTGCTAATACAGAATAAACAGAAAGCACACGCTAAATGAAGATATTGCGTAACTAAAGATTTATATCAGAAATACAGATTAGCATTAATGCTAATACAGAATAAACAGAAAGCACACGTTAAAAGAAGATATTGCGTAACTAAAGATTTATATCAGAAATACAAATTAGCATTAGTGCTAATAAACAGAAAGCACACGCTAAAACAAGATATTGCGTAACTAAAGATTTATATCAGAAATACAAATTAGCATTAGTGCTAATAAACAGAAAACACACGCTAAAAGAAGATATTGCGCAACTAAAGATTTATATCAGAAATACAGATTAGCATTAATGCTAATACAGAATAAACAGAAAGCACACGCTAAAAGAAGATATTGCATTACTAAAGATTTATATCAGAAATACAGATTAGCATTAATGCTAATACAGAATAAACAGAAAGCACACGCTAAAAGAAGATATTGCGTAACTAAAGATTTTTATCAGAAATACAGATTAGCATTAGTGCTAATACAGAAAAAACAGAAAGCACACGCTAAATGAAGATATTGCGTAACTAAAGATTTATATCAGAAATACAAATTAGCATTAGTGCTAATAAACAGAAAGCACACGCTAAAACAAGATATTGTGTAACTAAAGATTTATATCAGAAATACAAATTAGCATTAGTGCTAATAAACAGAAAACACACGCTAAAAGAAGATATTGCGCAACTAAAGATTTATATCAGAAATACAGATTAGCATTAATGCTAATACAGAATAAACAGAAAGCACAGCTAAAAGAAGATATTGCGTAACTAAAGATTTTTATCAGAAATACAGATTAGCATTAGTGCTAATACAGAAAAAACAGAAAGCACACGCTAAATGAAGATATTGCATAACTAAAGATTTTTATCAGAAATACAGATTAGCATTAGTGCTAATACAGAATAAACAGAAAGCACACGCTAAAAGAAGATATTGCATTACTAAAGATTTATATCAGAAATACAGATTAGCATTAATGCTAATACAGAATAAACAGAAAGCACACGCTAAAAGAAGATATTGCGTAACTAAAGATTTTTATCAGAAATACAGATTAGCATTAGTGCTAATACAGAAAAAACAGAAAGCACACGCTAAATGAAGATATTGCGTAACTAAAGATTTTTATCAGAAATGCAGATTAGCATTGGTGCTAATAAAGAATAAACAGAAAGCACACGCTAAATGAAGATATTGCGTAACTAAAGATTTTTATCAGAAATACAGATTAGCATTAATGCTAATACAGAATAAACAGAAAACACACATTAAAAGAAGATATTGCGTAACTAAAGATTTATATCAGAAATACAGATTAGCATTAATGCTAATACAAAATAAACAGAAAGCACACGCTAAAAGAAGATATTGCGTTACTAAAGATTTATATCAGAAATACAGATTAGCATTAATGCTAATACTAAATAAACAGAAAGCACACGCTAAAAGAAGATATTGGTTTACTAAAGATTTATATCAGAAATACAGATTAGCATTAGTGCTAATACAGAATAAACAGAAAGCACACGCTAAATGAAGATATTGCGTGACTAAAGATTTATATCAGAAATACAGATTAGCATTAATGCTAATACAGAATAAACAGAAAGCACACGCTAAAAGAAGATATTGCGTAACTAAAGATTTATATCAGAAATACAAATTAGCATTAATGCTAATAAACAGAAAACACACGCTAAAAGAAGATATTGCGTAACTAAAGATTTATATCAGAAATACAGATTAGCATTAATGCTAATACAGAATAAACCGAAAGCACACGCTAAAAGATATTGCATTACTAAAGATTTATATCAGAAATACAGATTAGCATTAATGCTAATACAGAATAAACAGAAAGCACACATTAAAAGAAGATATTGCGTAACTAAAGATTTATATCAGAAATACAG